TTTAAAAATGCACTTTCAAATATATTTTCACGCTTTTATCATATAGGGTCTTAAAGTTTATATAGTTATGAAGGTACTGGAATAGAATTTGTACTCTTCAAAGAACTTATAACATGCCATGGTGGTGATATTACTGTAACTTTAGTAGTAAATAAAGAAATAATATTTAAATGTTGGATCCAATAGGATATAAGCATTTACTAACAAACTAAATAAATCTTGATATAGAAATTTCAATAAATTGTGATTGCACTACTTAACAATTTTATTTAAAAGAATATTTACATTGGACAAAAGTTAGTATATCTGAAGTCAAAAATGAAATAATAGATTAATTATCAATTATTTATAATGAACAAACTTTAAAGATTCTTTTTATCTGGAAATAATTCTGTTTCTAGAAAAAAATATCAAGTCTTACTTGTTGATAACAATAATGAATTATGGTAACAATAATTTATTTTACAATTAAGTTATACTTGCAAACTGTTTTTTATTATTATTGATTATATTTGTAGAAATTATCTCTCAGCTTGTCAAAAGAATTTGATTTACTTCATATTTGTGATGGCCAAAATGTTATAAGAGTTTTAAAAAACTTAATAAATTACTTGATTTAATTCTCAGCAGCAAGTAATTTTATGATTATATTGTTTTAATCATATATATATATATAATAATTATTAAATTATATGATTTAAATTTAATAAATATCAATATGCCAAATATGAATAGATATGAGTTATTAAATGTAATAAGATCTAATATAAAAATTTAATTGATTTCAGTAATATTATTATTCGCAGAAAATAACAAAGATTTCAAATTAAAGGTATTTTAATATGTTAATTTATTTTAACTTAAATTTTGTATTCAAATATATCAACTTTTCTTATTCAGGTCTTGATAAAAAAGCAGATAACTACTTAGTAAAACCATTTTCTCTTGAGAACTAATTACCTGTATTTGCACTAATCTTGAGTTATCACTTCTTTGTTATAAAATAATATTCCAACAGTTTGAGCAAGAAAAAACAAAGCAATTATTAATTTTATTCTTGAATAAAATTTTTTCTGAATCAAGTAAAATAGAATTATTACAATATATTGCTGAAGAAACCATTATAGATTACCATGTGAACAAATTGTTATTATTTCAAAAAAACAATCTGAACTTAAGAGTAATAATATAATTGCTTTATATAAAAGCTTAGAAATTACATCTATGCACTTAATGTCAATGATAAAAGTAAATTACAAACATTAGAGTGTGGCAACTTAGTGAAGTGGCAAGTTGTCGCACCCCCAAGCAGCAGGACCAGAGTTCAAATTTCACTGGCGACAAAAATTCAAATTTACGAAAAATGTATTTAGAAAGACTGTATTCTATTGGGTTATAGAATCTGTAACGGGGTTGCACCAGCTTGTACTAGGAGATAGTGGAATATGTAGTGTGATATACAAGTTACACGAAACCTGAGTGAAGCTACCAAATAAATTCAGCAGATTGATAGGATATAGGAGCCTGCTTGGCAAGACCTGAGTAGAGAGGTAGCACAGATCTTTGATGGTTACTATGTGTAAGATGACTGGCCAGATACCAGAAAACCAGACAGAACCGAGGTGTTTGGCAAGAGCACTATACCAACCAGGCTAACAGACAATCAGAGGAAGAGTCTGCTCTTTTAGGTCATTGGATTGGAAGTTTGGATTTCTAGAGATATAGGAGGAAGTCTGTAAAGTAGGTACCATCTAGATGAACTCTGCAAGGATAGTAGTAGATAACTGTAGTGGCAATACTTGTTCTTGGACTCAGCGTAAGTTACGAAAAGTCTAGTCTGGAAATATGTGGGATATAGAAAGATTAGAAGAGTATATACTACACCCTCTCTAGGGCAAACCAGTAGTACAAGAACCCTACTGGGTTATCTATAGAATTAGGGCGCAAGTAGAGATGTGCGAATGCATATTTTTTAGCTCTACATTGTATAATGTAGCATAATGCAGCATGTGACATTATGCAATCACAGTGTTTTACCAAAATCAAGAACAAAATTCATACCCAATCTTTCTTATCTCTAGACAGAAGTTTACTATTTTATAGTATTTTAAAACTTCATATTAGTTAGCCTGCTTTATACAGATAGAAAATCACTACATATTACTTAATATTGCATATGATATAAGGTATAATATTTTATTAATTTTGTTGCATTAAAATTATAAAGTAATTTCTATATGCACTTTTAAATTTTAAAATGTCTACATCACATTATGCGACATTATATTTTGCATAATGTAATATACATAATGCAGAATGCTATCTCTAGGTGCAAGTAGTTTAGCACATGTTGATCTGGGTGGTCTTCAATAAAAGAAGCATGAGGTTATGGGCTGGCATAATTGTGGTGATAGTATAAGAGGGGTAACCTAAATATATTACTAAATACCTAATAAAAATTTATCTGTTCGCAACATTGCGAAGGTAAAAAAAAAAAAAATAAAAATAAAAAAAAAAAATTACAAACATTTACTAATTCAAAAGAATTTCAAAATAATAATTTAGAATTTGATATTTTTTTAGATATATATTGTGATAATGTTTGTAAAAATGTATCTATGTTGTCTATAGGAATAAAATTAAATGATATTTTAATGGGATAGATTAAAGTGTACAGATTACCAAATTCTATTTCTGAAATTAAGTTTTTTAACAAAACTCAAATCAAATAAGTTTATTATTGCTTATATAAATTTATCAGAAGAGACTTTTGAAAAGAAGATTCAAATAAAAGCTGCTGAAATTGCCAATAATACTAAGAGTTAAATTTTAGTAAACACTTTACATAATATATTACTTTTGTTGTGATTACTTTTGAAAGTTTCTATTATACAAATTAATTATAATTTTATAAAATTAAGAATACTACTAAATGCAATAGGAATTATTTCTTTTTTTGAAGGTGTTCACTTAACAACTGATTAAAAAGACATTCTTAGTTTATAACATATGCTTCTGATAGAATATTATTAATAATAAATGATATTTCTGATGCTGCAAAATTAGAAGCACCAAAAATTACACTTGTAAATAAAGCAGTTGATTTATTCGAATTATTTGACAACACTTTTGAGCATTTGAGGAAGAGCAGGAAGTAAAAAAATTAAATTGATTATAAATTATAATGTAAATAAGTTGCCAAGATATGTTATGATTGATCCTAAAAGGTAATTAAAACTAATGCAGTTTATAAAATAAATAAATCATTAACTTTTTATATTAAATAGACTGAAACAAGTTTTATTTTATTTAATATCAAATTCATAATGATGTTTTTATAATTATGGTTACTTTTATTTTTTTATATAACTAGTAATTTATTATTAATTTTTTTAGATTAAATTTCTGAAAAAGATGAAATCATAATGACAATTTCAATATTACCATGAGAAAATTTTAATAAAAACAAAATAAGTTTGATTTATAGTCAAATTAATAAAAAAAAGAACTCTTCTAATTGTTCCACTTTTAAGATTATATATTTTAATATTTTAGTATATACATTATCTTATTATTCTTTTAATAATAATAATAATATAAACTCTAAATAAATGCAACATGTCTGAAAAGTTTTTTATAATGTAATATTTTGATTGCCAGGATACAGGACTTGGTCTCACAATTTATAAAAGTCTAGTAGAAATTAATGAGATGAAATTAATGCTGAAAGTCAGTTAGGAAAAGGAAGTAAATTTTAGTTTACATAGAACATTGAACTATTATTATTAATAATAATGACTATTTTAAAACTTTCAAAACTCTTGTTATTAGAGGCACAATTTGATAAGAAAATTAACTATATATTATCTAATTTTATATGAAGAAATAAATACTAATAATTCACCCAGTCAAAAATATGAGAAACACAATGATAAAATATTTTAAAATAGTTGAAAATGTTAATATATTTAAAACATTTGATGAAAATATTAAAGCTGCCCAAATATACAAAGAATTATATAATCAATTTGCTTATAACATAGTATTCATCAGCCTTTATGAATAAAGAAGAGGTTATGAAAATATCATTAAAATTAAAAGCATTAAATCTAAATATAAATAGACTAGCTATAATTTTATAGTATTTCTAAGTAATGAAGGAAATAGTTTAGCAAAAAAAATTAATTAGAGAAGTTAGAGAAATCACTTCTGTCATTTATATGCTAATTACAAGAAAAAAGTTAACTAATTAAATTATATATCTGGAAAAAAACAGTGCTGCTAACAAAAACAATACAAATCTACAGATTAATAAAAGCAAATATACAAATATTCTTAAGCAAGTAGCAGATTGCAAAATTTATAAAATTTAAGATGCAAATCAAGATATGGGGGGAAGTCAATAGAAAAGGGACAAATTTTTTCTAAGTAAAAGTTTTCTTAACTTAAAATTTAAATATCTCAACAACTATCTAATCAAATTTGATAAAATTTTTTTTATTTTAATTCTATATAATTTCAAGATTAAAATAAAAAAATTTTTATCAAATTTGATTAGATAGTTGTTAAGATATTTTAATTTAAAAATTAAAAAAATTTACTGAAAATGATTTGTCCCTTTTTTATTGACTTCCCCCTATATATATAAGGATATAATTGGAAGAAATTTTGAAAGCAAGTGTATTTTATATGTGGTATGTATTTACTTTGTCCAAATAATGCATGTTTATTTAATATAATAAGCATTAATCAATTGTTTAACAATATTTGTAGAATAGTGATTCTATTAGTTTAGAGATAATTATAGTTTAATAATATAAACACATACACATATTATTATTGTTTTAATTTATTTATTTTAGAACACATTGAAACAAAATTTAAAACTTGGATATTTAGCAATTTCTGCGACAAATAGCTGAGAGACAGTTAAATTAATTTATTTTGAAGTTAAATTAATACAATGTAAATTAAATATACTGCATTTGTTTATTATGACTATGTCATGCAGTTACTCTAATGATTTATTAGTGAAACATTAAGTTTTCAAAAAGTAAAGTATATAAATAAGTTACTTGAACAACTAATTTATATTAACTAATCATACAAAGGTTTGTCTATAACTTACACAACTTATATGTTTAGACAAAGTGCTTCTATTTAAGGTTTGCAAATTTTTGTGCTAACATATTGGCAGTATGCCAGAATCAGGTGTTAGTGTCTAAATATATGCACTGTATATTTTAGACAAGCATTAGATGCCAATGCCCTTGTTTGTGTCTATATCTCATATGCTGGGCAAATTTTGTTAATGTTATAATGTAAATTAGAATTTTATTCTTACACTATCTGCTAGTATAAAATGAACTGTGTTAGTATAATAGATCAATCATGCCTCAATTTGTATAAATTCACCTATAAGATGGTATATAGATAATATATAAGTTTATTATACCAGATATATTGTTATCATGCCAGAGCATTAGTGCAAATGCTAAAAATAGGAATGAGTATGGTCAGCCATTTTCAGTTAACCTTTTATAACCATTAGCTGTATCTTGTGATCCAGTAATCCAAATTAGATGATTACAGCACTATTCAATTAGTTTCAATATTATAAATTGAATAATACCAAAATTATCTGATTTGGAATACTAGACCACAAGATACAGCCAAAGGTAATAAAATAGTTAACCAAAAATGACTGACTATACCCATCCCTACTTAAAAATAGCATTTTTAGGCTGGTACTAAGTACTTGTATCTTAAATTTTTGGCTAGGCACTGGCAAATAAAAGAAAAATTAAAATTAGAGATTTTTAGCTTAACTTTAAACATTTTGCTATTAATAAAATTAACTATTTATGAGTCAAATAACAATTACACAACAGTGCTTATTATTTGTTTAAATCATGCCCTTATATATATCTTTGAATTCAAAAAATTAATGCTTGTTGACTATATAACATTGTGTTATATTAAATAAATATATATATATATGAATGTATATGAGTGCTGTCAAAAGAAAAGGCACTATGGAGTTGCAATTATATTTGTACTAGATATAATCTACAGTAATTTTATTAAAGATTGTGTCCGATACAAAATAAAATTGAAACTTTATAACTCCTTTTTCATTTGGCAGCACTTATATACAACAGATAAAATAAATTATAACTCATTGAATCTTAACCAAATTTGTTTATAAACTTTTATTCTAGATTTTATTTGGTTCTTTAGTTCTGATCAATTATGATCATAAACTGCAAATTATATGGATTACATCTGATGGAATATTTAAAAAAAGTAAAAATGTAATATTTATAGCAATATATTTGATAAAAGATCTTTTGCAGTATGAAAAACATAGCATGTAAAGAGAATTGTCTGCATACATTATTCTAGGCTTCTGATTGATCTTTGATCTGATCATTATTAATATCAATATTACTAATTTATTGTTTTTGTGCATCATTTAATTTATCAAGGAAAACATTTTTATTATTAATAATAAATCAATTATGATTTTTTTTGTACTAAATTTGCTAATTTAGCATTCTTTTCTATTCTCTAAATTATTTTTTTTCATATGAATTATTGTACTTTTTGCAATAATTATTTGCCCACAGAAGCCTTTATTTATAAAAGCAAAAATTATAAAACTTGTTCCAATTGCTTAGACATGAGGTTAAGAAAAAGAAATTTAAAAAAATGACCTTTATCTAATAATAATAATTATAAAAATGAATTAGATGTAACTTACGATAATGTTTATTTTACCAAAATTGTTAAGAATGTTACTAGCAAGTTTTCTAATCTTGGGAATAATGATATGCTACTTTTTAATCTTTATGTTATACTTGATAATATTGTATTAAACACTGCACAATATGAAGCAAAAAATGTAGTAAGGTTAATAGTAGATAAAATTGAGGGATTTGATAAATATAATTGGGTTTTTACAGCTGGACCTAAAATGTCATTATGCTACTATGGAGTTGGTTTATTCTATCTTTTTTGCTCACAATGTCAGGAACTTGAGCATGAATATAAGAAATCTAATTAGAAAAGAATCATATGTTTTGACTGCTATAATAAACTAACAATTTATATTGATATACTTATAAGAGAAGCAATAATAAGATTTTGTTATAATTTTCAGCATGAGAAATCTATTGATATAACAACACTACTTAAAGTAAAATATGAGATCATACAAAACCTTCACATAGATTCTATATAGTTATGAGCACATCTTCATTAAAAATTTAATGTTTTACTTACCACTAATAAACAAATACATTATTGGTAGTCAACATATTATCAACATTTAAATAAATCAGATAATAATTATATAATTTCTAATTGTAATTTTTTTGAAGGTCCCAATACTAATGCTAGTAAACTTTGTTTTAAATAGAATACTAACTTGGTTACGGCTATCAGATTTACAACTTCTCTATTTGCCACATTGTAACTATTATCAAGTGTATATTGTAATGCAACTTACAAAATGACTATGAGCCATTTTGAAATCTATAGAATTATTAAAAATTTTGAAGGAACAGGCTTTTTTATAGCTTATCTAGCTTTAAATACTACAAAAGCACAAAATAATTTAGGGTTATGGATGATGACACTTACTGGTTTTCTTTATTCACTTTGTGACAAAGGGTTATAACCATAATATTTTTATACAGACAAAGTTTTCTCAGAAATCAATATCGCAAAAGAAGTATAGTCTAATATCAATATACAATTCTGTTTGTATCATATAGAGAAGGTTAGTTATCATGTTGCATATTTGTAGTCTTTTTAACTCTTTATATATTTTTATATAGTTTGATATACAGTATATATATATTAATTATATATAAGAAAAGTTTAATTTTAATAGAAATTTACATATTAATACTGTTTTTTTTCTTTAATATGCATATATTTTTGATAAGTAAAGACTATTAAAAAAAAACTTAAAAGCCATAAATGAATATATCATAAACAATATCACTTGGACAATATAATATTAGAATTTGCTTTTATAAATCCTAAATTTAAACCAGATCTTGAGCAAACTGATTCTGGATATTATATTATATATTCATCACATTTACAGACAAAGTTATAAATATAGTTAGAAAGCATTTTAATAGGCATCTGAAAATTCTAATTAATGCAACAGAGCAATTTCTTATAGCTAGTGAAATTTGAAAACATTTTGTTTGTAAGATTTATGAGTTTTGTATTAAGAATCAACTTACTTTACTCTGTGTATATATGTAGCAATCATAATACAAAATAACAAGATGGGTACTCTGGGGCATTTGACACAAACTACAATTCCACTAAATCAAACTAACAACCTTGTTGAATCTTATTGAAGAGTCATTAAGCATTGTTATCTTTATAGATTCAATTAACCACGATTTGATTACCTTCATTGAATTATTTGTATAGGTATAGTTTTTGATCAAATTGTTTGTTTTAATCAAATACAGTCTAGGAATATACCAAAAATGGACATTGAAGATCACACCTTTTATGGTATAAAGATGTTGATCAGAAGATTCTAGATTTTATGACACATGACATTAACCAATCAAATTGATCAAAAAACTTCATATACGAACATATAAGAATAAAATAGCTTATTATAAGCAAAGTTTTAGGCGAAGCTTTACTTT